CTCATGAGCCAGCCTCTGCTGGCTTCAATCTTTTCTTCTACAGCTTCCTCACCTCTCTCAGATTTCATAAATTGAAGAGATTTAGGGCCTTGCTCTGTATTAGGCTTTGGCTTAAGGGAATCTTGTTACTGGTATGATCCTTGATTCAGACCACTCACACTTTCTCCTCATCAGGAATAATGATGTTTTGCTTTTTTTTTTTTTTTTAATCATTCATGTGTTCACTGGAGTAGCACTTTGAATTTCCTTCAAGAACATTTTCTTTGCATCTACAACTTGGTTAATTGGCACAATATGCCTGTGTTGGTCTGTTTTGTGCAGTTATAAAGGAATACCCGAGGCTGGGCAATTTATAAAGAATTGTGAGGTTTAATTGCCTCACAGTTCTGCAGGCTGTCCAGGAAGCATGGCACGGGCACCTGCTCAGCTTCTGGTGTGGCCTCAAGGAGTTTTCAATCATGGCAGAAGACATGAGAGGAGCAGGCACGTCTCTTTATCAAGAGAGGAAGTAAGTGGGGGAGGAGGTGCCATGCTCTTTTAAACAATCAGACCTTGTGTGAACTCAGAGCAAGAACTCACTTACTGTGAGGACAGCACAAAGACATTCATGAGGGATCTACCCTGATGACCCAAACACCTTCTACCAGGCCCAACTCCAATACTGGGGATCACATTTCAACATGAAATTTGGAGGAGACAAACATCTAAACTACCTGATGGTCTATCCTGGCTTTTGACATACCTTCCTCATTAAGCTGAATCAGTCTAGCTTTTGATTTAAAGTGAGAAATATATGACTCTTGCTTCACTTGAAAACTTAGGGGCCATTATAGGGTCACCAAATGGACTGATTTCAATATTGTTGTGCCTCAGGGAAAAGGGAGGCCAATGGAAAAGGAAAGAGATAGTGAAACAATGGTTGGAGCAGTCAGGACATAAACCACATTTATGGATTTGTTTGCCACCTTCTATGGGTGACCCAAAACAATTACAGTACTAACACCAAAGATCACTGATCACCATACCAGAGATAATGATAACAAAAAGTTTGAAATGCTGTGAGAATTACCAAAATGTGGCATGAAATGAGTATGTGTTAGACAAATGATGCTGACAGATTTGCTCAACACAGGGTTGCTGCCACCTCCACTTTGTAAAAAATGTGGTATCTGTGAAGCACAATAAAGCTAGGCACAATAAAATGAGGCATGCCTGTATTTACTACAATAGAAAGTCAATCTTTAAACAATTCACTCTTAAACAATCAATAGTCAAAGAAGAAATCACAGACAAATGTAAAAAATATCTGGAGACACATGAAAATGAAAACACCAACATACCAAAACTTACAGGAGGCAGTGAAAGGGGTACTAAGAGGGAAGTCTAGAGTGATCAGTGTTTCCATAAACAGAAGAGAGGGCTCACATCAGCCTCCTAACTTTATACGTCAGGGAACGAGAAAAAGAAGACAAAACCAAAAGTTTGCAGAAAGAAGGAAATAATAAAGATTAGAGCAGAGATAAATGGATAATAGAAAACGATGTTTAAAAAAAAATCAACAGGCCGGGCACGGTGGCCCAAGCCTGTAATCCCAGCACTTTGGGAGGCTGAGGCGGGTAGATCACAAGGTCAAGAGATTGAGACCATCCTGGCCAACATGGTGAAACCTGTCTCTACTAAAAATACAAAAAATTAGCTGGGCATGGTGGCACGTGCCTGTAATCCCAGCTACTCAGGAGGCTGAGGCAGGAGAATTGTCTGAACCCAGGAGGCGGAGGTTGCGGTGAGCCGAGATCGCGCCATTGCACTCCAGCCTGGGTAACAAGAGCGAAACTCCGTCTCAAAAAAAAAAAAACAAACAAACCAAGAGTTGTTTCTTTTTTTGAAAAAAAAAAGATCAACAAAATTGAAAAACCTTTAGCTAGACTAAAGTAGAAAAAAAGAGAGATAATTTAAATAACTAACATTAGAAATGAAAGGACATTACAACTGATATAACAAAAATGAGAAGGACTGTAAGAGACCACTGTGAACAAATATATGCCAGCAAATTGGATGACAGAGAGCAAATGATTAAGTCCTAGAAATAAAGAGCCCACCAGGACGGAATCACAAAGAAACAAAAAATATGAACAGACCTAGAACTAGTAATGAGATTGAAGCAGTAATCAAAAATTCCCCAACAAAGAAAAGCCCAGGACCCGATGGCTTCAGTGGAGAATTCTATCAAACATTTAAAAAAGGATAAATTCCAATCCTCCTTAAACTCTTCCAAAGAATTGAGGAGGAGGGAACACTTCCAAACCATTGCATGAGGTCAGCATTATTCTAATACCAAAACCAGCCAAAGACACAAGAAAAGAAAACTATAGACCAATATCCTTGATGAATGTTGAAAAATTCCTCAACAAAATACTAGTAAACTGAATTCAACAGCATCTAAATGGATTATGAACCATGACCAGTTGGGATTTATATTTGGAATGCAAGAATGATTCAACACAAAATTAACCAACGTGATACAATATTCACAGAATAAAGGACAAAAACCACATGATCATTTCAACAGATACAGAAAAAGCGTTTGACAAAATTCAACACCCTTTCATGATAAAAACACAACAAACTAGGAATAGAAGGAAACCACCTCAATGTAATAAATGCCATATTTGAATGGCCATAACGCAAATACTACTCAATGGTAAAGACTGAAAGCTTTTCCTCTAAAAGCAGGAAGAAGGCAAGATACCCACTCTTGCCACTATTATTCAACATAGTACTCGAAGTCCTAGCCAGAGCAATTAGACAAGAGAAAGAAATGAAAGGCATCCAAACTGGAAAGGATCCAAAGTAACACTCTCTGTCTACAGATGACAGAACCTTATACTTTGAAAACTCTAAAGATTCCAGAAAAACAAAAAACAAACAAACAAACAAACAAAAAACTGTGAAGACTAATACATAATTTCAACAAAGTTTCAGGATACAAAACCAACATACAAAAATCAGATGCATTTTTATACAATAATAATGATCAATCTGAAAAGGAAGTTAAGAAAATAATTCTATTTACTATAGCATCAAAAAGGATAAAATATTTAGGAATAACCTTAACCAAGGAGATAGAAAACTTATACCCTGAGAACTACAAAACTTTGCTAAAAGAAAATACAAAAAAAAAAAAAAAAGAGAGAGAGAGAGAGAAAGACATACTATGTTTATGGATTGGAAGACTTAATATTGCTAAAATGTCCATACTACTCAAAGTGATATGCAGATTTGACACAGTCTCTATCAAAATCCCAATGGCATTTTTTTGTAGAAATTTAAAAAAAAAAAGCTATCCTAAAATTCATATGGAATCTCAAGGGACCCTAAATAGCCAAGACAATCATTAAAAAGAATGCTGTTGGCCTCCCATTTCCTGATTTTGAAACATACTAAAAAGCAATAGTAATCAAGATGGTGGGATATTGACCATAAAGGCAGATGTGCAGATGAATGCTACAGAATATTCACTGATGGATGAATGAATAAACAAAATATAATAAAGATGGGGATAACAGACACTGGGGACTCCAGAAGGAGGGTGGGAGGGAGGGGGTTAAGGGCTGAAAAACTTCCTATTTGGTACTATGTTCACTATCTAAACAGGATCAACAGAAGCCCAAACCTCAGCATCATAAATTCACCCTTGTAATAAACCTGCACATGTGCCCCTTGAATCTAAAATTAAAATAAAAAGCAAAATATGATATACACATACAATGCAGTATTATCCAGACTTAAAAAGAAAATCGGACACATGCTATAATAAGGATGCATGTCAATGACATTGTGCTAAGCAGAATAAACCAGTCACAAAAGGACAAGCACTGCCTAGATGATCCCACTTCTATGAAATACCTAACGTAGTCAGAATCATAGCAACAAATAGCAGAGAGGTGGCTGCCAAGGGCAGCGGTGAGAGCAGAGGGGGAGTTACTGTTTAATGCGTCTAGAGTTTCTATTTTGCCTGATGAAAAAGTTCTAGAGATCTATTGTACCAATAGATGCGTGAATATACTTAATACTACTAAAGATGGAGTTTCACTCTTGTCACCACTACTGGAGTGCAATGGTGCGACCTCAGCTCACTGTAACCTTGGCCTCCAGGCAGGTTTAAGTGATTCTCCTGCCTCAGCTTCCCAAGTAGCTGGGATTACAGGCGTGTGCCACCATGCCTGGCTGATTTTTGTATTTTTAGTAGAGACGGGGTTTCGCCATGTTGGTTGGGCTAGTCTCAAACTCCTGACCTCAGGTGATCTGCCCACTTCAGCCTCCTCAAGTGCTGGGATTACAGGCATGAGCCACCACGCCCGGCCAGCACTACTGAACTCTATACTTAAAAATAGTTAAGCTGGGCCGGTCTCAAGCTCCTGAGCTCAAGTGATCTACCCACCTTGTCCTCCCAAAGTGCTGGGATTACAGGCGGGAGCCACCATACCTGGCCCTAAAATATAAAATATTTAAATGACAATTACAAAATAATACCAAAGTTAAGAGCAAACTGTGCTCTTCGTGACAGATAACATCAATATCTAGACTCTACTGTTAGGTACATTTTGAAAGTATAAGCTTGTCCAAACTGCACAGAGAAAAATCTAAGGTTGCCATGGCAATCTGAATTTTGCCATGTTCCCAGTATGAGCTTGGGAACAGCTATTTATTTTTACCCAGGTTATACTAACATTTGTTTTTTCAAAAGAGAACTTTAAGTAAAAATACAAAACAGCACACTGTGGTTTTAGCCCATGAGATTTCAAAGACAACACAATTAAATCTAAAACAAGAAGAATAATAAACTTAACTAGTTCCTGTTATGGCAACATATGAAATGGACTTTTATAAGCTTTAACTCAGAAGAAATTGTACAATGTCATTTTAAAAAGTGATACTCATTTTAAAATCTGAGAGAGAATTGCGTTTAGAGCTCACTTAAGGCCCTTCTCCTGGCTCACCTTTTGGTTGCTGGCACAGCAGTTTCTTTCCTGGCCCCGGAAGGGGAAGGTAGAGAGCCACTAGGTTTCTTTGGTAACACAGTGCCGTTGTTGACAGTGGTTCTTAAAGGCAGGGTCTGCATCAGTGGTCTTGCTGTAAGACAAGCAGAAAAGGATATCAGACCTTCCCTTCTATAAAAGTAACATTTTACAGCAGGTGTCCCCAACCCCCATTAGGAAGATGAGGCCACACAGCAGGGGGAAGTGGGCAGTGAGGGAGTGAGCAACTCTTCGTCTATATTTACAGCTGCTACCCATCACACATGCTACCACTGAGGCTCTGCCTCCAGTCACATCAGTGGTGGCATTAGATTCTCATAGGAGTGCCAACTGCCTTATCAAGTGCACATGGGAGAGATCTAGGTTGAGCACTCCTTAGGAGAATCTAATGCCTGATGATCTGTCACTGTCTCCCATCAACCCTAGATGGGACCATCTAATTGCAGGAAAACAAGCTCAGGACTCCTACTGATTCTACATTATGGTGAGTTGTGTAATTATTTCACTATATATTACAATGTAATAATAGTAGAAAGAAGGTACACGATAAATGTAATATGTTTGAATCATCCCAAAACCATCCCCACCACCCACCCCCACTTCCGTGGAAAAATTGTCTTCCACAGTTTTCTTGGTGACAAAAAGGCTGGGGACCACTGTATTACAGAACTTAAGCTACATAGAAAGAAAAGGACATGAATTTTGAAATACCAGCAGCACTGACAAAGGTATAAAGGCAATTCCTTGGAGAAAGGATCATCTTTTCCTTTTTCTTTCTCTCTTTTTTTGAGACAGTTTCACTTGCGCAGGCTGGAGTGCAGTGGCATGATCTCGGCTACCTCTGTCTCCTGGTTCAAGCAATTCTCGTGCCTCAGCTTCCTGAGTAGCTAGGATTACAGGTGCTGGCCACCATGCCCAGCTAATTTTTGTATTTTTAGTAGAGATGGGGTTTTGCCACATTGGCCAGGCTGGTCTTGAACTCCTGACCTCAGGTGATCTGCCCAGCTCGGCCTCCCAAAGTTTTGGGATTACAGGTGTGAGCCACCATGCCCCGCCAACATCATCTTTTCAACAAAGGGAACCTAGACACTAACCTTACACCCTACACAAAAATTAACTCAAAATGGCCCATAAACCTAAATTTAAAAGGCAAAACTATAAAACTTCTAGAAGAAAGCGGTTTACTGATGAGTTTTTAGATATAATACCAAAAGCACAATCCATGAAAGAAAAAAACTGATAGCTTAGACTTCATTTACATTTTTAAAATTTGCGAAAGCACTTAAAAGGATTAAAATACAAGGCATAGATTGGGAGAAAATATTTGCACATCACATATCTGATAAAGGACTTGTATAAAGAATATAAAAAGAACTCTTCAAATTCAACAGTAAGAAGACAAACAGCCCAATTAAAAAAATGGGCAAAAGATCTGAAAAGATACTTCACCAAAGAAGATATATACAGATGGCAAATAAGCATATGAAAAGATGCTCAACATCATTTGTCATTAGGGAAATGCAAATTAAAACAATAATGAGATACTTCTATACACCTATTAGAATGGCTGAAATCCAAAAAGACAGACAGAATACCAACTGCTGGCCAGGATACCGAGCAACAGGAACTCTCTTTCCTTGCTGGTGAGAATGAAAAACTGTACAGCCACTGTGGAAGACAGCCTGGCAGTTTCCTATAAAGCTAAATATAGTTTTACCACATGATCCAGTAATTGTACTGACACTAGGTATTTACCCAATTCATCTGAAAACTTATGCCTACGCAAACCCGCATGTAAATATTTATAGCTGCTTTATATACAGTCGTCAAAAACTGGAAGCGACCAAGATGTCCTCTGATAGGTGAACAGATAAACAAATTGGCCCATCCATACAGTGAAATATGAGTCAGTGATCAAAGGAATGAACTAATCCACACCTGAAATCCACACTGCTAAGAGAAAGCAGCAAGTCTGAAAGTCTCCATGTTGGATGATGGCATTTATATGACATTTGAGTCAAGGTAAACTAAAGACAGAAAATCCATTGTGGTTGTCAAAGGTTGCAGGGTGGGGGTTTAATAGGCGACACACAGGAGGTCTTCTATGGTCATAAAACTATTCTGTAAGACACCGTCATGGGGGATATGTGACACGAGGCCTTGTTAAAGCCCAGAGACCCTTATACCAAGAGTATATCTTAAAGTATTCAAAGAAAACCAAGTAGGAGATGGGGAAACTCAATGATGGAATGAAGATTGTATAAGAAACACATGACAACCTCACTGAAGGTGGTGGGGGGCAGGAAGGTGCTGACCTAAGTCATACTGGAAATGAGGAGAGATTGTAGAGCTAAAGATAACAGGACCGCACATCAGCACTGTATTCAAGTTAGTAAGGCTGATTCCCACAAAGGTGGGGGCTAACAATTCTGAAACCACTACACATGAACACCAGGATGGAACAATTAAGTAAAAGGATGGAGGATGGCAGGTCTCTCACTGCTGGAGAGGGAGGTGATGGATGAGCAAGGGGAGATGGTGGGAATGAACCATGTACCACTGGAGCAGGGACATCAGTGTGGACTCAGGTTTGCCTTAACACAGATGCAGATATGTAATTACAAATACATAGACACATGTACAGGTTAGTATAAACACATGCTTCTGAGCTCTGTCTGCTGAGAAAGGCTGAAGCAATGATACCCAAGGCCTGAACCTTGGTTTCCAATGCCGTCATACAACAGAAGGAAGCGGGCCTCCTGTGGAAACTGCTGTGCACAGGGCTGGGGCAGGGAACACACATGAGTCTGGAGTCTTCTGTGGTGCCAGAAAGTAAAGATGTGCTCAGACAACAACAAAACCAAGAGACGCTACTTCAGTGGAAGCGAGTCAAATGGACACAGGACCTAACTGAAAGAGCTCCCAAAGGCCAAAGCTGGAACAATTTGAGCCAAAAAACAAATAACATAGTATTTGATTATAACACAAAGTATGCAACAAATATCTGTAAGTTTACACTACAGTATATATAAATAAATGATTGAGTAAATACATAAATGAAGAGAATAGACAAATCCCCATGCAGCTGTATTCTGAAGAATTTATGTGGCTACCGCACCCTCAGGAAGGGAGAACATAACCTGCCACTCCTTAAGCGTGGCTGGCACATACCGACTTCCTTCTAACAGCCCGGTGAGAAGTAACTTTCCAGTGGAGAGACCTGAGCAACACTCCGTCGGCCAGGTGGCCAAGGTCAACATCCACAGTGATGAGCCATGTTGATAGCATGCTCTTGGACGGGATGTGCTGATGAGATGAGAATGGCACTTGAGCTCTGTGCTTTCCTCCCTAAAGCCCATACCAAGTCTATCCATGAAAAAAAACCTCAGATGAAGCCAACCTGAAGGACAGTCAATGAACTCTCTAACCAGTATTCATCAAAACTGTCAAGATCATCAAAAACAGGGAATATTATCAGCCTGGAGGATCCTGAGGAGCTGGAATAACTAGAGATAACGCATTACCCTGCATGGGAACCTGGAACAGAAAGGACTTCAGGAAGAAACTAAGGAAGTTCCAACAGAGCATGGCCATTAATTAATAATAATGTATCAATATTGGTACATTAGTTGAGACAAATGTACCATATTAATGTAAGATGGTAATAATAGGGGAAACTGGGTACTGTGTCTATGAGAACCTTCTCTGCTTATAACTTTTCTATAAATCTAAAACTATCCTAAAATAAAAAGTTCATTCAAAAATGCTAGCAGAGGACAGGTGTGATGGCTCACTCCTGTAATTTCAGCACTTTGGGGGGCCAAAGTGGTCAGGAGTTTGAGATCAGCCTGGCCAACATGGTGAAACCCTGTCTCTATTTAATCTCTATTAAAATTAAACCCTGTCTCTATAAAAAAAAATACAAAAATTAACATCACTGCACTCCTGGGCAGCACAGTGAGACTCTATCTCTGAACAATAACAACAACAAAGCTAGCAGAATTTAATTCATTTTGTTCATCACAGAATTAAATCTGCCTCCATTTAGGCTCTTAAAATATTACCAATGACAAAACTATATTTTATGCCAAATTTTTAACTTGCTGGAACTTTCCAGTCCCTAAAGCTGAAAGGCCAATCTTCTTTCTTTAATGTAAAAGAAAGTGGGGCCTCCTCCATGCTCCCACACCACCTTGCCTTAGCCACCATCATCACACTTGGAACGCTAAATCCAACAGTTTGTCTATGCCATTGCAGGTTTCTTGAAGCTGGCACCTGCCCCCAGGCCCACACACAGAAGGGAGTCAACTTACACTGCAAATTTAACTTGGTTCAATTTCAGTAACGAAAACCTTGCTTCTAAGAGAGGACAGTATGTGGCCATTTTGGAGTCACTACTAAGTTGTTCATTCTTTCTTGAGTTATAATTTCAAAATTCAATCTCATAATAATCTGTTACTGTCCTTTTCTCAAAAGAAGAAATAGAAAATAGGATTTTAAAAAGCCCATGAAATGAAAATCAGATGCCATGCATGTGGCATTCCCAGACTGTATAATACATTTTATATCTTACAATACATAGAGTAACATCAAAAGCAAATAGAATATTAAAGTTGTGATGAGAGATCATGAAAAAAAATAGAGAGTGGGAAGAGGAGAGAGACGGGAAGGGGGAGGGGGATGTACCGTGACTACTCTTGGAATGACTACGAAGTTGGAAAGATCCCAACTTCAGCAAGATCCAATTTCTACTACATCCCTGTCTTGATAACATCCATGGGTTTTTGTAACCACTGACAGATTCAACAGCATCGTAACCCCCACCACCATCCTGCTTACTAAGCACCTATTTTGTACAGGCCATGATGCCAGGTTTTTTTCATGTTACCAGGTCTAAAAATTATTAGCCACTCAAGGAAGAAAACCTGCCATAAGAAAACCTGGTGGAAGGAAAAATACCTCCTAGTGTTCAGCCTGAACAGGTGCCAGCATGGATCGTGAAGATGGCAGGAAAAGAGGAGCAGCTGTAATGAAACGTTTTCAGATAAGTGCTCTTTGAAAATGCAGAAGTGACATAACACTAGGGAAGGTTCA